ATTATTTCCATGGCCAACAACTGGCTCTCCCCAACCTTCCAATTTATCCATATCCCCCTCTTCCTGCAAGAAAACATTAGAACTTCAGTTGATACTTAGTTTATGTTGACTTCCTCTATTTTTATGCATATTTGATGTATATACATCTATGCTAGGAATAGAGTAGAACATGTATATGACTAATAAATACATAGGTTTGTGATGTCTCCTGAAACACTTTTTAATAAAAAAAGTCTGTATTATTAAGGCTGGGTGTGGTGGTTCACACCTATAATCCCAGCACTTTGGGAGGCAGAGGTGGGTAGATCATTTGAGGTCAGGAGTTTGAGACCAGCCTGGTCTCTACTAAAAATACAAAAAACTAGCTGAGTGTGGTGGTGCACACCTGTAATCCCAGCAATTTGGATGGCTGAGGCAGGAGAACCCTAGAACCTGGCAGGTGGAGATTACAATAAGCTGATAGCAAGAGGGTCTTGCTCTGTCACCCACTGCAATCCAGTCTGGGTGACAGAGCAAAACCCTGTCTCAAAAAAAGAAAAAAATCTGTGTGGTTAAAAATAAAGAGACAACTAGTTTATAGAACAAGGACTATATATATATATACACACACACACACATATTTATACACTTTTTTTTTGAGATGGAGTTTCGCTCTTCTTGCCCAGATTGGAGTACAATGGAGTGTGATCTCGGCTCACTGCAACCTCCATCTCCCAGGTTCAAGCAATTCTCCTGCCTCAGCCTCCGAGTAGCTGAGATTACAGGCACCCACCACCATGCCTGGCTAATTTTTGTATTTTTAGGAGAGACGGGGTTTCACCATTTTGGCCAGGCTGGTCTCAAATTCCTTGCCTCAGGTGATCCACCTGCCTTGGCCTTCCAAAGGGTTGGAATTACAGGCCTGAGCCACCACGCCTGGCCACAAAGGCAATGCAGATGAAATAAACTGGAGGGAGAAGACCAGCCTCAGGGTTCTAGTCGTTCCTCTTGCCAAGTGCACGTTCTAGGCAATGTTTGACCTTCCTTGTCCTAACATGGGGTTATTCTTATCTGGATGTTCTGTTTTAAGGTTATTCCGAGAGCTCATTGACATATGCATGTGCAGATGTTTTATAAACAGCATTCTGTATGTGCTGAAAGGAGCAAATAGGATGGATTCCAAAGCTCCACAAAGTACGAATTATTATCCTGTGAACAGCTCAGGAGGCATCTTTGGAGAGGTGGGGTCTTGCTCAAGGTCCAATTTTGAGTCCAAAGCTCACGAACTTTCCACTGTGCCTGACCCCTTGCCATCTGCAGTCTGCTATTCAGCACTCATGCCTTAACCTGGGAGTCAGCTTGCCAATTTCCCCATGTCTTGTTGCTGGCCTAGGACAGATTTGCTCATTTAGGATGCCATTGACCTTATCTAATAAAAGGAATCAGGATCCAAGGAGTCTGTTTAATTCATTATTAAAGATCATTTCCTGTTATTATCTTCCCTATAGCAAAATGAGCTGTTAACTCTCCTGTTAGCATAACCCAGCCAGTATTACTAGGAAATTAGGAAAAAAATCAGTTTAATGATATGTGCGCTGAGCCCAGGGAATTCCCCATCTTTGGCGCATATTAACATTATGCCTTAGAAGTCGAGGAAATATTCTGTTAAGTGGAAAAAGAGTTGCAGAAATTTTACTTTTAAAAGTCAAGTAAAAAGTTACTTTTTTTTCCCAAGTCAAATTAATTTTTGTCTCAGGGCAAGAAAAAGTAAATTAAAAATCACACGCTGGCGCGTCCTCTCAGGCCCCGTTTCCTCCTGGATTTCTGTCCCTCTTGACTGAGGTTTTGGGTTTCTCTGGCCCAGTTTGGGTCTTGGAGGACCCAGGCTTCAAGGGTTTCTGCTCCTGGGAACCTCTGGCCATGGCAAGGTGGGGCAGCCTGCCCCTCTTCCACCTGTCTTCCTTTCAGGTCCTTCCCTTACTCCTGGGCAATTGGTGGTGGTGAGGAGGGAGCAAGGACTGAGACCCAATGACGCAGGGAGGTCCTGTGGTGTGATGTAGAGTGTGGTTGTCCCCTGGATAAGGGCCTGCTAGAACGCAACCCCTTATCTGAGCACAGAGCTCCAATCTGGTGCTCCTTAATCTCATGCTTTCAGATTCCATGCTCATCTCCAGGCTCAGACCTTCACTGATGCATGCATCCGCTCCACCTCCCAACTAAAAGTCAACCACAGCATTTAAACACAGTGACATTGGCAGGCATAGCTTCAAAACAAAGACTCAGAGTCATGCCAATGGATGCGTGAGCCCATCTGTATCTGGTATAAGCTTTCTGTTCTCAAGTGAGTTACTTAATCTCAGAGCTTTGTATCCTTAACTGGGATACAAAGATGGTGCTAAGGGGTTGCTGGTCTCGGACTCCTGACCTCAAGTGATCACCCCTTCCTCCACTGGACATTAACACATAGGCTGATCAGGGCTTTGTGGGGGACTTTAGCAACCTCCACCAGACTCCCACCAAGGGCAGAAATCATGCTGGTGTGACCATAAGTGAGGTGCCCAGTGGTGAGTGCGTACCCAGGAGGTGAGGAGCTCTGGACAAAAGGCGCAGGTAGTGAGCAGGTGTTTCATGGTCAGGCAACACAGTGCTTTGAAGCCCTGTGCTCACGTATCTGAAACCATAGGGGTACCTGGATGTATGCAGGGGGAGATGCAGCAGCAGCCTGGTGTGGTCAATGAGTCAATGGGCTTGGAGTCGACAGACATGTGGTGGAGTCCTAGCTCCATGTGGCCTCGAGAAAAATCACAAAAGTGCTTTGGGGCTTCATAGTTTCAGCTGGAAGAGAGACATCTGCCAACCTTTGCAGGTTGTTGCTTTAGAAACTGCGTTCTCAATCATTCTCAGCAAACTGACACAAGAACAGAAAATGAAACACCGCATATTCTCACTCATAGGCGGGTGATGAAAAATGAGAACACATGGACACAGGGAGGGGAGTACTAAACACTGGGGTTTATTGGGGGGAAAAGGGGAGGGCCAGTGGGAGGGGGAGGTAGGAAGGGATAGCCTGGGGAGAAATGACAAATGTGGGTGAAGAAGAGAAAGGAAGCAAAACACACTGCCATGTGTGTACCTTTGCAACTGGCTTGCATGTTCTGCACATGTACCCCAAAACCTAAAATGCAATAAAAAATTAAAAAAATAAAAAGAAACTGTGTTCTCTACATAATGAAGCGTGCATGTACGTGGTGAAGGTGGCAGGTGACAACATTTCTGGAGGCTTCACCAGCACCGAACTGTGAGATCTCAGAACAGGCAGAGGGGTAAGGGCTTGGCCAGGAACACAGGGAAGGTGAGGCGCTTGCGGAGTCCCTTCTGTGTACCTGAAACCCTGTTAGGCTCACAACACTTTTGTTACAGGCCGTGAGTTCTTGTGACTCAATAGTTTCCAAGAAAATTAGAGTTAGTCGGAATATTCACAGAGTATCAGCACAGTCAGGGATCTTGGGAAGCTCAGCCGGGTAACCAACTCATCACAGTTTGTCCAGCATTTTCCTGATTTTATTAATATTAATAATGAATAACAATAGCACTGTAAGTACCATGCCCTGGGAAACTTCCCATTTCTTGGCAAAGTGGTCACTTTGGTCGTCACCCTGCAAATCTTGTTTTAAAGACTACAGTCAGGGCCAGAGACTACCCGGCCCGAAGTCATATGATTAAGGACCCCCTGAGCTGTTTTTAACGTGAACAATGCTTTCTGGACAAGGAGAGAATCCAGCTCACCTTCCACCAGCCCAAGCAGGACCTGCAAGCCACATACATGCATCCAAAGAGATGAAGTTTCCTTGGGCTTTTTCACCTGTTGGTATCTGACTTACAATTGTTCTCTGTTAACTCCATTATCTTTAATTTGCAAGAATGCAGCCAACAGAAAACCTCTGGGCACTTGCTCTTTAATGAAACACAATTTGATTACAAATCATCAGAGTCCCCTGGCAGACAGCCCTTTCTGGAGGATTTTAGCTTGCCATGGCCACAGCAGCGTGATTTCCGCCCTTTGTGGGAGTCCAGTGGAGGCTGCTGAAATCCCCCACCAGGGGAGATAGCCACCAGCCCCCCGTTAGCCCATGTGCTAATGACAGCTGCTGAAACACCCTCCCTCACGGCCTTGTGGATGAGAGGGGTTCTCTGTGGGCTTGGACACAGTGTACCAGAAATGCCTTCTAGCTTCACCATACCATTTTGATTCAATGTGCTAGTTTATTTTTTTTTTATTTTTTTGGGGGTGTACACTTTTAGCTTCTAGTTCAATTGCTTTAATAATTAATGAGCTATTTATTTACATTGTTTATTCTTGAGTAAGTTTTATTAGTTTGTATCTTTTAAGAGATTTGTCCATTTCCACATGTGCTATCAAATGTGTAGGCAAAAAGTTGTTCAGAATAAGCTTTTATTGTCCTTCTAATTTTTTGTATGTCGCATGATGTTTCTCTTTGAATCTTAATGTTGGTAATTTGTATCTTCTTTATTTATTAATCAGTCTAATCAAGAAGTTTGTTGATTCTTTTTTCTTTTTTTTAAATTATATTTTAAGTTCTGGGGTGCATGTGCAGATTGTGCAGGCATAGGTATACACATGCCACAGTGGTTTGCTGCATCCATCCTCCCGTCACCTACATTAGGTATTTCTCCTAAAGTTATCCCTCCCCAATCCCCCCACCCCCTGCTATCCCTCTCCTGTTGGCGATCCCCCAACAGGCCCCAGTATGTGTTGTTCCTCTCCCTGTGTCTATGTGTTTTCATTGTTCAACACCCACTTATGAGTGTGAACATGCGGTGTTTGGTGTTTTGTTCTTATGTCAGTTTGCTGAGAACGATGGTTTCCAGCTTCATTCATGTCCCTGCAAAGGGCATGAACTCATACTTTTTTATGGTTGCTTAGTATTCCATGGTGTATATCTGCCACATTTTCTTTATCCAGTCTATCAAAATTTATTTATTTTTGTATCTGTCAACAGACATTATCATGGCAAATGTCCAGCAGACCAGATATGGGGTGATCAGTTGTTTGAAGGTAAAAGGTAAGAGCTATGAAGCCATGTTACAAGAAATCTGTGTTTACTGCGACATTGAAGAGCCTCAGCTCACGGATGTATAAGGTGAGTTGGACAGCATCAGCCTTATAGGGCTGAAAGGCAACCCCCGGGGCAGTATCCTTAATGCGGCAATTTAATAGACACGATGTGACCAGGTCACACTGTTCCTGGGACAGGGTGGGCAGTGACTTACTGAGCATCATTTGGAATCTTTTAATCTTGTCATGCGTGCCACCAAACTTGTATCACTCAATACTATGCCTGTTCCAAACACTACTGAGTTGTGCACCATAGTCCTCAAATCCTGATTTTCACCTGCCAGCTCATGCTCTCAGATCCTATGCTCATCTCCAGGCTCAGACCTTCACTGACGCATGTGCCCCCTCCACTCCCAACTAGAAGTCAACCATGGCATTTAAACACAGTGACAGTGGCAGGTATCTTCAAAACAAAGACTCTGAGTCACACCGATGTTTGCATGAACCCATTTGTATCTGGCATTAGCTTTCCATTCTTGAGTGAGTTACTTAATCTCTGAGCTTTGTATCCTTAACTGGGAAATGGGGTTAACATGTGAGTCATGATGATGAATGAATAGGATGGCATTGGGGAGAGGATGATAAATTTGTCAACAGCAGTGGGTATGGTAGGGTAGGGTGAGGCAGGGTTAAGTATGGGTCTGCCGTTCACCAGTTGCAGGTCTTAGGGAGTCTATTTGGGTTCTATGGGCCTCGGTTTCTTTAACTTTAGAATAAGGGTAAGAGTAGCACAATCTTTATAGTATTGTGTCTAGTAAGGATGGAAAGCCATGTACGTATTTAATGCAAGCATTGAGTTCAACGTCCAACACACAGTAAAGGTGAGTCCAGCATGGATAGCGTGCTTTGGACTGGACAGCCTGGCGACCCACACTCTGCAGATGGCAACTCTTATTATTCTGTCCATACTGTGGCCAAGCAGCGAACTCCTAGGTGTTCAGTTGAAGTAACAGAGCTCAGGAGAGGTAGAATGAATAGTGCAGGGTTTTGCACACAGTGAAAGGTAAGATCGAAGAGCAACCCAGTTGCAGCTTCTGGTTCTTTTTTTTTTTTTTTGAGACAAGGTCTCTCTGTCACTCAGGCTGGAATGCAGTGTTCATGGCTCACTGCAGCCTCAACCTCCTCCCCAGGCTCAGGCCATCCTCTCACCTCAGCCTCCAGAGCAGCTGTGACTACCGGTGGGAGGCCACCATGCCCAGCTAATTTTTGTATTTTTAGTAGAGATGCGGTTTTAGCGTGTTGCCCAGGCTGGTCTCAAACTCCTGGCCTTAAGTGAGCTGCCTGTTTTGGCCTACCAAAGTGTTGGGATTACAGGCATGATCTGGTTCTTTCTGACTGAGGGGTCTGTCTGGGCTCAGGAGGAGGGTCTTGTCTGCACAAGAAGATGGATGAAACGTTCTCAGTCCCTTCCTGTCACCAACAAGAAGAAGCAGAGAGTAGCACAAGCACACAGGGTGCTGGTCAAAAGGACAGGTTCTAGTCCTCAACGCACCATGAACTGGCTGTGTGACCTTGGCCAAGTCATTTCTCTGGTCCACTCAGTATCTCCATTTAACATACTGGAGAACTGAATGTATCTATGTCCAGGTTCTTTCCCTTTCCCTTCATTCCATGATTTTCTAAGTACCATCTCTTTATTTCTTACTTGTACACAATCTCACCTCTGCCTTCCAGCTAGAACGCATGTGCCTGAGGCCAAGCATCTTCCCTGAATGCTCCCTAGTAAGTGCCTCACACAGGTGGGATCAGAGCCTGTGGTTGTAGTAAAATCAGCATTACCTGCAGGTTGGTGTGAGGGGCACATAGTTTCACTCCATCCTCCAACTTCTTAGAGGAGAAAATATTTTAATGGTTTGTAACAACCCAGATCTACACAAAAGGGCATGAAAACAGCTACTTAAATTATACTTGCACTTGACAATGCAAAGATCAGAAAACTCCCAACAAGACAGACGATAGGAAGAAACAAAAGCCTGAGCACTTTACTTTAATTTAAGTGATGCCTCCATCATCCTGTGGTCTGTAGTCCTGCTACGGTCCCTGTTCCCTGTTGCACATGCGTGGTGTATGTTCACATGGACTCTTCTACAACTTTGCATCACAGCATTCATCTTCTCCCTCATTGGTTCCACACATTCAGCCATAGCTGTTCATGACTTCTCTCCTTCTGCAATTGTTTGAAAACTGCGTCAGAGAAAAGCTCCTTTTTCTTGCTGTGATTGATTCATTTTTTTTTTTTTTGAGATGGAGTCTTGCTTCTTTTTTTTGGGGTGGGGGGATGATGTCTTGTTCCGTCACCCAGCCTGGAGTGTAGTGACACGACCTCTGCTCACTGCAACCTCTGCCTCCTGAGTTCAAGCAATTCTCCTGTCTCAGCCTCCTGAGTAGCTGGAATTATAGGCATGTGGTACCATGTCTGGCTAATTTTTTGTATTTTTAGTAGATAGGGTTTCATCATTTGGCTAGGCTGGTCTCGAACTTGTGACCTCAAGTGATCTGCCCACCTTGGCCTCCCAAAGTGCTGGGATTATAGGTGTGAGCCACTGTACCTGGCCATTGCTGTGATTGGTTCTAAGAGTCTTTCTGCACTTCTTTCTCTCTCCCTGCTATGCTAACTCTCACAGGACTCAGATTTCTTAGGAAAGTTGCATAGGGATCATCTACTTTGTAGGGTTAGATATCAGCCTTGCCTTGAAAGGCTCAGCATCATAAACAGTAACACATAGTCTGTTTTCTCTCCTACACTCCCATACCTCATACTGGATATCTAAGAGCTGCTGAGCTTTGGGGAAAAGAAGGGAGGAGATGTTGGGGAGGAAGTGTTCCTTGATATGAGAAAGCCCATTTCCAGAGAATCAAAAGACTTGAATTCAATTCTGCTGTTGGTGGCCATGGGGAAGTCACTTTTTCATGTGGGACTCAGTTTTCCCATATGAAAAATTAAGTCATTATTTAAACCATAAAGTTCATTTTAAACTCTAAAATAGACCATACCTCTATTTTTCTAAGACTCTACTTGGTATAAGTTTCCATCAAAGTTCTTTACAATGTACCCCATTTATTTATTTGAGACAGGATTTTGCCCTTGCCCTTGATGCCCAGACTGGAGTGCAGTGGCACCGTCTTAGCTTACTGTAGCCTTGAACTCCTGGGCTCAAGTGACCCTCTCACCTCAGCCTCCTGAATAGCTGGGACCACGGGCATGTACCACCATGCCCAGCTATTTTTTTTTTTCTATAGAGATGGAGTCTCCCTATGTTACCCAGGCTGGCCTTGAACTCGTGGCCTCAACTGATCCTCCTGCCTTGGCCTCCCAAAGTGCTGGGATTATAGGCATGAGCCAATAATCAAAATGGAGTGCCTGGTCATGCACACCATTTGATCCTCAAAACAGCCCTTTGAGGGTGGTGTTATTAGCCTCATTTTACAAGTGGGGCAACCAAGGTTCAGAGAGGTTAATGGACCTACCCAATGAAAAAAGTTATGAAGCCAGAGACCAAATCCAGAATTTTCTAATTCTGGCACCCATGTTTCTACCTCTAAAGATTTTTCTAACTCTACCTCTCAAATATGATGAGCCTTTGGTGTTACTCTCAGAAAAGCTGCTGAGAAAATTCTGATTTCCCTGCCCCCATTTGTATAATGTGTTCCCTGTCATGGATAACTTTCCTTTCAAAAAACTTCCAAAGGACAAGTGATGCATTATTTCTTTTATTTTTGGCAACTTCACACAATAACCTTAACAGCCTCTTGGCTTCCATCTCCCAGGGATGGCATTTCAAGTATGCCTGGTCATGGAGTGCCTGTGCTTTAAAATTTTAATGGAAGACCCTTACCCCCATCTGTCTTTATCCACTGTTGCCCTGTCCCTGGCTCCCTAGTGGTCACTGAGCTTTGCAGGCCCCCCTTCCTCCAGCCCATCTCCTCCTGCCATTGAGAGGGGGCTGCTTCCCTTCCCCAGCGGCAAGCCCCTGATTCTTTTAACACAGCCAACGGGCTCCATTGGGGCTTTCAAGCTTGCTGGCAATTTGGATGTCAGTAGCTGGGAAAATCAAGCTTAATATTTGATGACATTACAAAGTCAGTCTGTTCTATTTTCATCCCTGATAGAGTGAAAAAGCAGAGTTCTTACCAGGAGACTCTCCCAAAGAAGTGGGAGACAGTTGGTCTGGGAGCCACAGCAGATTGGTAGTGAGTACTGGGCAGGGGGTGAACTGTGGTTTTGTCTTGACAGCCAACCTGTGGTTGACCTTGGGCAAGTCATTCATCCTCTGAGCTCTGACTTCCTCCTGCACAAATAAATGATTTCTCAGGCTATAAGTACTCTGATTTAGGAATGATGTGATCTTAAACTCAGAATTGACTTGGGGAGGTGTTTCTTTCATCTATGCAAACTTCAGGAATGGCTAGGGTGTTTTGAAGGGAGGGGACAGAAAATCAAGGAAGTGCCCTGGAGACCAGGTGAGGAAGACTGAAAAATGGGACTAGCTCTGTTTGCAGGACGTATGAAAGCTTCAGGATGCCCAGTCACTGTGCTGGGGTTCCAGGGTGGAGCCCAAGGCTTTGGGGACCTAGAAGGCTGGTGATGTAGGTAAAGTCAGGCTTCTGTTCCTGTGAGTCTCCAGTCTGATGCTCAGGGGAGGTGCTGGGTTCAATCATCACCGCCAGACTCATGCCTGTCCTGTTCCTTCTGCTTCTGCAACAGTGTGCCCACACGGATGTGCAATAGGACCATACAGCCCCATGCTTTGGTCCCGCACCTGTGGACTCTGGCGTTTACTGTGTGTTGAGCACGGGACCCAGTGCTTGCACTTGCATGCCTTTCCATCTTTATCACAATACTAGGAAGTCAGTGCTGTTCTCAACCCTATTTTACAGTTACAGAAACTGAGTCCAGAGAGGCCAAATGGCTTTCCTAAGACCACACAGCTGGTCAAGGGAAGACCTGTACTTAACCCTGTCTCACCCTAATCCATACCCATTTGCTTTTGACAAATTCTGAGTCCCCTCCCTTGTAGACCGAGTCAATTGGGCAGAAACTTGTTCCTGAATATGGCTTTCTTTTAATGCATCTCTAGGATCGCTTTTCTCTGACCTAGAGTCTGGACTGGCTCAGGGCACAAGGCAGGGTTTTTAGGGAGGTGTGGACAGGAGCAGGAATGATACCAGGTTACCAGATGCTTGCAGGACTGTTTCTGGGTGGCCATGGACTGACTAGGTTTTCTGCCATTCTCACTTGCATCTGTCAAGAATAACTGTAGATGCAGTGTCTTCTGATAAGGAGGAGTTGTCTGGAACAGCCTCGGCTCTGTATCTGCCCCTCAGATGTCCTTCAGTGCTTTAGCCTGGTGACTCATAGATCTCCCAGCGGTGGGTTACACCCAGGGAGGGCTTCTTTCTGGGGTCCCTCAGCTACAGTGCAAGTGGGGCATGCCCAGATAAGACTCCATCTGCCCTGGGAAGCTCTCCTGAGCCTTGGGGAACTGACTCGTCATGAATATTTGGCTTTTTGTGTATTTGTAATTAATAGACCTGCATCATATAACTTGTGTGTATGAGTATTCTGTCTCATCTGACTCAGGACAGTAGTGAAAATGCAGCCTAAGATGCAGTGAGCTGAAGTGGTAACCAGTATACTGTGAACCTGCTTTGTACTGCCATGCCGGGGTTCAGAGCAGGCATCCAAGTCTAGAGCTACATATGGAGACCGAATAGAAAACAGAGGCGAAAGCCCTGTTGTAGGGATAGGGCCAACGTGGCAGGAATTAGTGAGGCAGGATTTGGTATGCATAGGAGAGCATGAAATACCTAGAACTGAAAAAATCTAAATGTCCATGAAAGAAATCCCATCGAATTCCCTAGAGAAACTTGACATGCTATATTTTGACCCAGCCAGCCTCATTTGTTTCATGCAACTATTACCAGATTGAAGTTTGCTGGGAGATTCCAAGTGACATGGAAGTTGCTGGATTATTGGGAAGAGATCCCCGTAATCTTAGAAGAATTCTTGGAATGGCTCAGAAATAAACAGAACCTCAAGAAGCAGAGGGATTTGATTACACAGGAGCTGGACTTCTAGATTATGACATTTATATGGTTTGGGTCTGTGTCCTCACCCAAATCACATGTCAAATTGTAATCCCCAGTGTTGGAGGTGGAACCTGGTGGAGGTGAATGGATCATGGGGTGAATTTTCCCTTTGGTGCTGTTCTCATGATAGTGAGCGAGTTATCATGATGTCACGCTATTTAAACGTGTGTAGCATCTCTGCACTTTCTGTCTTCCTCCTGCTCTAGCCATGTGAAGATGTGCCTGTTTCCCCTTCGCCTTCCACCATGACTGTAAGTTTCCTGAGGACTCCCCAGTCATGCTTCCTGTGTAGCCGGTGGAACCGTGAGCTAATTAAAACCTCTTGCCTTTATAAATTACCCAGTCTTAGGTATTTCTTAATAGCAGTGTAAGAATGGACTAATACAGACATCTTATGGAAAATAGTTCCTCAGGTGGGAAGCTCTATTGTGTACTCTCCTTGAAAATAGATGACCTGTTTTCTCATCTTTCTCTTTGCATACCATGATTTTCACATGCAGAAAGACAGACAGTTAAGTGGTGGTTGTCTTTGAATATTTTCCTACTGAATGGTTTCTGGCCTGGCTCAGTCCCCTTAAAATATCATCCTAAAGAAATAGTGGATTGGGTGAGGTGGCTCACTCCTGTAATTCCAGCACTTTGGGAGGCTGAGGCATATGGATCATGAGGTCAACAGATAGAGGCCATCCTGGCCAACATGGTGAAACTCCATCTCTACTAAAAATACCAAAATTAGCTGGACATGAAGGCACGTGCCTGTAGTCCCAGCTACTCAGGAAGCTGAGGCAAGAGAATCGCTTGAACCCCGGAGGTGGAGGTTGCAGTGAGCCAAGATCTCACCACTGCACTCCAGCCTTGGTGACAGAGCAAGACTCTGTCTCAGAAAAAGAAAGAAAGAAAGAAAGAAAAGATTGATCTTTTCCTTACAAGGCTTTCTAAAATATGATTTAAAAGTCAGAAACAACAAAATAAAATATTAAAAAATTCAATAACATTAAAATGGAGTTGACAAATTGCATCATAAATGAAATAAAAAAACCAAACATCAAATTGGAAAGATGTTTGCAGGTTATGTCACAGAGGAAGGGATGGTTTCTCTAATATATAGAGTTCCTACAAACCAATAAGAAAAGTGGACAAAGAATACAAAAAGTCCACAGAAAAGGAAATAAAACTGCTTCTTAAGCATATGAAAATTTACCTAGTCTCATTAGTAAGAAACATAAATAAAAAAAACAAGGAGATAGGTTGGGTGCAATGGCTCAGACCTATAATCCTAGCACTCGAGGAGGCCAAGGCAGGCAGATCACTTGAGGTCAGGAGCTCGAGACCAGCCTCGCCAACATGGTGAAACCCTGTCTTTACTAAAAATACAAAAATTAACCAGGCATGGTGACAGGTGCCTGTAATCTCAACTACTCTGGAGGCTGAGACAGGAGAATTGCTTGAATCCGGGAGGTGGAGGTTGCAGTGAGCCGAGATTGTACCAGACTCCTTCTCAAAACACAACAACAACAACAACTACAACAGAAAAAACCAGAACCCCCCTGCAGAACATGGAAATTATCTTTTTCATTTTTTCTGGGTGGCAAAGAAAAAAAGTTAGAAAATGCCACGATAGTGAGAGGTGTGTATGAGTACGACATTGGTGGTAGTGTATAACTCTCTTGGGGGGTATTTAGCAATATCTTGCCAATATCTTTGCCAATATCCTGCCAGTATCTTTCTTACTCATAAGTCAAAACTGTGATTGTTAAGTCCACAAATGGCAATGTTTTTCCATGTATATTGAAGTTTCTTAAATAGTATTTTACAGAATAACTTTTCCTAATACCTCATGGAAGAGGTTTTCAGGAGCATAGCTTGAAAGATACTGACAGGCATAAAGTAGGAAGTAGTTAGAACGTATCTGGGAGCTTTCAACACTCTCAGGTCTAGCTAGTGTGATGTTTGCTGCCCCTCTCAGGAAGAACAACCTTTCTCAAACCTCCACCTTCATTTTCTCCTCTTGCAAATGCTTTTTGGTCAGAAGCATAAATGCCAGAGCTGCAAAAGTGATTCAAAACCCAAGAGAGCTCCCTGGGGACAGGCTGTTCTCTTTGTAGTTGGGACAAGGAGATGGCAGGCCCTTCTCTTCCCAAGAAACTCCCTGGTGTGCAACGAGAGGCCAGAGACTTACCTCGAAGCATTAATTAGGAGAGATGCAACATTTGGAGACAATCTGTTCAAGAAACCCTGCACAGGACACGATTTTGTCCTGGGCTCCGGGGCTGATCTGTGCCAGTGGCCTGACTCCACATGCCTCAATGGAATTCTATGGCAGAACCTCTCCAAAATGTGTGGAAAAATCTGTTTCTCTGGGTTCTCCTTTGCTTCAAGGTGAAACAGGTGACTTCCTTCACTGCCTTTCTCTGGGAGCACGATGAGCACTAATTACCTGCTCACTGCCAAGCTGGCACCCGGTGTGAGCTGTCAGCGGCCTCCAGCCCCTTCCTGAAGCATGGAGGTAAGTGAACATAAGCAGAAGAAGAACGAGTGAGCATGGTGGGGCCCCGGATGGCGTCTGCCAGACCAACCTCTTGCTTCTTCCTCTGTTGCCCCAAGTCCCCTGCAGGACTAGCTGGGGTCCCCACCCTACCACCCAAGTGAACTGCTATCTAGGGACCTGATGCCCCTTTGCTCATCAAGGAGGCTCATATCTTCTATTGAGGACAGCAGACTTCAACCTTGCTTGCTCATTAAAACCATGCTTAAAAAAAATCCCTGCCACCAATGCCTGGATCTCACTCCCATGAGTTCTGATTTAATCAAGATGCTTACAAAGCTCCCGGGTGATTCTAAAGTGTCCCCATATTTTTATTATGGGATGACCACATACATCAGGATACTTTTGAAATGTTGGGGCATGATTAACCATTATTTTGGGGCAGTTTGCATAACTTGTACTGTCCTAGGCAGTTTGGGATGCGTGGCTACCCAGCTCTAACCCTGAAAGACCCTTGAGAATTGTCTCCCAAGGACATGATCATAGTTGAGTTTTTTTCCCTTTTATGGACAAAAACATTGACACTTTTAGATCATGGCAGAGATCTATAGGGGGTATGTCATGAAGCTGATTTTGAGTGCTATTATGTTTCCAACAGCCACAATTTCCACTTCAGATACCTCCTCTTTGTGAAGAGGGATGCCTGCTCCAGTAATTCTCAGCCCCAGCTATTCTTCTTGTAGCCCTGGAGAGCATCACACCTGGAAGACACCTTAGCAGTCGCCTGGCTCCATCTTCTCTGCAATACAACCAACCATTTCTCCTGCAGCATCGTGGGCAAGGATGAGCAGAGGGCACTGGATTTGAACTCGGAAAGCCTTTCTGAGCCTTGGTTTTCTCATCAGCAAAATATGGATTATACTACCAGCCTCAAAATGTTGCAGTAGGGATTATATGAGACCCTCTACCAGCACATCTTGGGTGGAATGCACAAAGCTAGGAGGACCGCTGAGCCATAGGGAGCAGAGTCCAGACTCATCTCCCCTCACTGGGGAGACATGCCTCTTCCACGGGCCACCATTTGCTCTGCTAATAGCATGTCTTTAATGGATGACAATCCCTTAATCCTCTTAGAAATGACAGATGGCAATTCCTACATTGTATAGGAAGAATGGGGTGACTATTTCACACTTATACAACAGTTTGAATAAATGGAGTTTGTTATAAATATTAATTGTCTTCCTACATAAGCTTATTCCTAAGTTGAGAGCATGCCTGCCTATTTCACAGGTGGAAAGATCAAGGTGTCATGTGGTCTAAAATCTCCCAGCAGGTACTTCTACAAGAAGGGTGTCTTAGTCTGTTCTGACTGTTATAACAACATACCATAAGCGAGGTAGCTAGAAATTTATTTCTTACTGGCTCATAGATGGTGTCTGCTTGCTGTGTCCTTACATGCTAAAAGGGGAAGGCAGCTCTTTGGGGCATTTTTTTTTTTTTTGGACTCTGTTGCCCAGGCTGGAGTACAGTGGTAAGATCTCAGCTCACTGTAACCTCCACTTCCCAGGTTCAAGTGATTCTCCTGCCTTTGCCTCCTGAGTAGTTGGAATTATAGGCAGCTGCCACCATGCCTGGCTTAATTTTTGTATTTTGAGTAGAGACGGGGTTTCACTGTGTTGGCCAGGCTGATCTTGAATTCCTGACCTCAGGCGATTCACCCGCCTTGGCCTCCCAAAGTGCTGGGATTACAGACTTGAGCCACCATGCCTGGCCTGGGGCTTCTCTTACATGGGCACCAGTCCCATTCATGAGGACTTGGCCTTTGACCTAATCAACTTCAAACAACCCCACCTCCCACTACCATCACAATGATGACTAGTTTTCAACCTATGAAGTTTGGGGGACACAAAAGCATTCAGACTGTAGTGGAGGAAGAGCATGACACCTACTGAGAATTGTGGTGTCTGGCACTTCCACTTGACTTTATTTCACTACAACCTTTCAACCACCCTACAGGGCAGTTATCTCTGCATGTTTGTTGAGAGAATAGGCTCAGAGACGTTATATAACTTGCCCAAGACTACCCAGCAAGGTGGCCAGCTGGGCCGTGAGTCTGATCTTTCCTGACTTCAAGGCTTAACCCCAGATACCATCGGAGGGGACTATGCCTTTCAGGTCATGAGCACAATATCCAAATCTCTGGAATTTTTAGACAATCACTGGTTTGGTTATATCCTTTTACATGTCTATCTTAGTAAAGACCTTTCAAGGAGATTTTGTGGCTCAAACATTTGGGTCAATGGCTTTCTAAGGTGATGCCTTCCACCTCGGCTCTACCTTTCTTCCATAAGCCTTTATTGGCATCAAGTGGCTACTGAATTCTGTGCTCTACACCAGGGTGACAACAATGTCTACAACATGGCCCCTGCCCTCAGAGCTTCCAGTCTAGTAGGAGAGTCTGTCTAGGAAGCAGGAAATATACTGTAGAGTGAGAAATGTGCCAATATGGTAGGTAATGATGGTCAGAATACAGGGTTTGAAGGCTTGTAGGCCCACAGCAAGGCGTATTCAACATTACAGAGCAGATCAGGGAAGACAGCCTGGAGGAGGTAGTTTTTGAATCTGGGTTTGAAACAAGGTTGAGGTAGATAAGGAGAGAAGGAGCAGAGAGAAGATGTGCAAAAGCATGGAAGTGCAGAAAGAGGCGTTGGGCTTGAGAAAGGCAAGTCACATGGTCCAGGGCAATGCTGAGGCTCAAGGCTAGGTGGGAGTCAGCTCCTAGGTTGCTGGGCGTTTATTCTGATTATGATGGGTTCAGCCCACACATTGATTCTCCTGCTGCAGTTCACACTCAGTATGCAAAGCTGGTGCAGGGTCCTACGGCCTCGTCTCTTCAAATTAGGCTAGAAAGGGGAAATGACTTCATTACTGTTGTCTTGCTAGTTGCCTCTTCTCTGAGGATCCCTCCTGCTGCATTCGTCCTGCTAGATTACCTGAAGAAGACAGCTTTTGCCCCTGCTGATGGGCCTCCTGGATAATTTTCTCTGCCATTCAGCAGTTACTCTGCCACGTTTTATTCTCCAGCAGACTTTTGCTATCTTCTAATAATTTTCTTTTAAAAAAGTTTATACTCATTAAAAAGGCCATGTCTGGAAATATATTATATATGTGTTTCTTCAGAAAAATAGGCCATCTTTAAATTATTATGCTGTTGATGTAAGCTGGATTTTATTAGCATTTCACCTGTGGTTTGGTGACACAAGCCGGCTTGAAAACTGTTGAAGCAGGATTCTTTGTTGATTAATTTGTTTTTCTTTCTCATGATTCTGACACTTAGGAGATACTTAAATTGTATTTTACAACTTTGTGCAAAACCAGTCTGATTGTTAGAGAGCTGTGTGGGCAGAATTTGGATGTTTTTAATGACGCAGTGGTGGAAGCCATATTTGAAATTCACAGAATCAGGCTGGGCACAATGGCTTATGCCTATAATCCCAGCACTTTGGGAGGCTGAGGCAGGCAGATCACCTGAGGTCAGGAGTTCAGGACCAGCCTGGCCAACATGATGAAACCCCATCTCCACAAAAAATACACAATTTTAGTTGGGTGTGGCAGCAAACGCCTGTAATGCCGGCTACTCAGGAGGCTAAGGTGGGAGAATCACTCAGAATAAATGCCCAGCAGCCTAGGAGTGGACTCCCATCTGAATCTCTGGGAGGCGGAGTGAGTTGAGATCGTGCCACTGCACTCCAACCTGGGCAACAGAGGGAGATTCTGTCTTAAAAAAAAAAGAAAGTAAATTCACAGCATCAAACACACCTGGAGTTGGAAGGACATCAATGGTCCAGAGGTCCAGTGCCTTAGCTGATGGCTGTTAGTGACAGACTGCTGCCATTCCTGATATACGGTAGATCAACTTCTGCTTGGATCTCTCCAGTGACAGGAAACTCACTACCTTAACATCAGCCCTGAATTATTGCTAGTGGGGCATGTTGAACAGTGTCACACAGGAGGTATCACAGCCTCCACGTGCTTCAGTTTGGGCTCCAGAGTTAAGATAGCACAGCCCTGGCCATGGTACCCAGGAGGCCATTGGCTGTATCAGGGAGAACATATATTAACATGCAGAGAAAAGTGGCTTGGCCCAAAGCCACCTGACAGTGACTAGGAGGTCCCTGAAGCCTGGCTTAAGCAATAGATGTGCAAATTCTCAGGATCCAGGAGTCCAGGAACAAGAAACAGACATCCCAGTGCAGGATTTGTCTCCAGAACAATGCAGCGCACAAAGGGATGTGCAGGCAGGGCATCTTGGAGGGCAATCTCCCCAGCTATCCTGGGTAAGGTCATGGCCAGTCCTTAGAATCGAAAAGCTGGGGATCAGAAATCACGGAGTTCCCTGGATCACTCCTTCAACAAATATTTGCCTATAAGTTTTAGAGAGTAAATTATAGCAAAGTGTTCTCATAGAACGTGGCCTTGGTCAAATGTTTGTGCTGTTATCTTAAAGTCGGGAGTTTAAACCACCCTTGGGAGGGATTACAGATGCATTCCTCAATGAAGCAGACTAGGAACGTGGTTGGGGTCCAGAGTCCTGGATCCTGGGAAGGCCATAAGAGATAAAGAGCTGTGTTCTCATCAGGGTCCCCCAGAGTTGCCTGGGATGCTTGTTAACTAAGAGTAGACTCAGAGGGGCTGGGGTGGGGTTTGGCCTCGGCAGGTTTAACAGGATCCCGGAGAGATCCAGGTTTGACAAAGGCTGCCTTTCGGAGCACTGTCGTAACAAGGCACATTTGTTCTGGGCGTGCTACATGTCACAAAAGTACTGTGAAAGATGAAAAGTATCACGCCCATGTGACACATGTGTGGAGGAGCTGCGAAGCTGTGCGGGCCATTGTGGGATCACTCCATCTTGTAAATTGGTTGTGGTGCATTCACTGGCCCTCTGTCCCCTCTCTGGTCTACAGAGAACTGTAGTGTCTGAGAATTCTCTTCTAAAGAGCTTGACTCCCTGCCAGAAGTCACTGGAAATAAATGCATCGCCTCTTCCCACCCTGGCCTGCTCTCTGCTGGGACAAATTTCTTGTCTTAGCTATTGCTTCTACTTTCTGTGAACGAATGCTGGGAATAGCTGAAAACACCTAATTCCTTGTACTTAACAACCCAATCTGCCCATTTTCTTTGTAGCACAGTCTCTGTCTGCTCCCAGTTACAGGTCAGACAGCTGTGACCTCCATTGTGCAGAATGTGGCATCAGACAGAGCTTTGATTAGCAAGAAATGTGTCACGTGTCCATGAAGCCCAGAGATGGTGTGAATGAGGCTGGGTCTGCAGGTATTGCTGGTGAGATGTGCCGTTCTCACTTTACCTTTCACGTGTCTTTTGGAGAACAGTGCAGAAGCCCTCAGCTGTGGTGGGAGCTGCAGGTACTGGTGTGTGGGCTGGTGCTTCCTGCAGCAGCTGTGGCCAAGGGTGATGTCGCAGGGAATCCCACTGCTGCTTTGCACCCTGCCTTCCCCTTTGCCTCCCTGTGAACCTGAGTACAACATTCCCAGTGAGCATTTAAGAATGTCTTCTGGTCTCTGCTGACTTGCATCTTGGCCTCTGCATTAGCCAGAGAACTTGAGCACGTGGCTTCACCCTTCTGAGCCTCAGTGTCCCCCTCTGCCAGGCGAGGCTGTCTCACCTCCCAGAGCCTTTGTAGAGGAAGGGTCTTTCCGCTCCCTCTTCCTTGTCTCAAAGCAGTTTGTGCATCTTATTTCCTGCCCGTGAACACAGGGCAACGTTTTATTTATATCTGGGGTTCTTCACTGCAACAAGATCCTGGCATTGTGGAACAAACTGGTGATCCACAGGAGATCTCAAACCCACAAAGACCCAGTGAATTAACTTCCAGGTGGGGACAGGAATCGGGGAGGGGATGGGGTGGTGAGGTCAGGCCTGTATTCACACCTGTCTGAATTGACTTTTATACTGGAGCATCTTGTCTTGTGTCAAAATTGGCTGGGGGAGGTGCTCATGTCTGTGATCCCAGCACTTTGGGAGGCTGAGGTGGGAGGATCACTTGAGCCTAGGAGTTTGAGATCAGTCTCAGCAACGTGGCAAAACCCCACCTCTACCAAAAGTGTTAATACAAAAATTAGCTGGGTGTGGTGTGTGTACCTGCAGTCCCAGCTACTTGGGAAACTGAGGTGGGAGAGTAGCTTGAGCCCCAGAGGTGGAGGTTGCAGTGAGCTG